TATTTACATTTTTTTACCTGTTATTTCATACATCCCACATGTACAGTCTCATTCTATTGCCCACATTGTCTAAAGATAAAAAAAAATACAAGTAAGTAGGTATATATAAAGTAAATTAATAAATTGAACATATATATCCAAATTCATACATACTTATATATAATACATAATATATAAAAACATATATACATATATTGATACACAAATACATACATACTAAAAACACATCAACAATGAATAGTGCAGTAAAAGCGAGAGATTAGTTTGACAATTTTCCATAAATTAATATCGTTTTTTTAATTACCGATGTCCTTGGAAAGATGTTTACTTACTGGATTTAAAGGTAAATATGGTAGTACTAGAATTTACGTCAAGGGGCAAAGCATTCCAGTGTTTAATAGCCTGAAGCATGAAAGATTTAGAGAAGTATGTTATATGTTAGAATCCACGATCATCAGAAGTAATGCCCAATTTACACTCAGCCCGAGTGGGCAGGGAAGTGAGCAGCGCGAAAGTGTAAACGCTTCTCATGCCATTGGCGCTGCCACTTGCGCTGCACGGCGTTCCCTCGTTTGTCGGTTTTTCGTGCGCGAGTCAAAGGACTGGCAGCGCGAGTGGCAGCGTGTTTTTACATTCAGCCCTCTCGCTCAGTTGTTGCCCGGCAATATTTCCGGCAGCGCGAGTGGCAAGGGAAGCGGCTGAATGTAAACGTAGCGTAAGGTAGTGTGATAAACCGCTAGATCACGGTACGACATATTTACCTTTGAAGTAGCTCAAGAAATCCCTCTCACAATATAAATTTTAAATGTACCAAATTTCGGACTTCTTGCCAATGTAATTTTTCCATTAAAAAGGTATAAAGTTTTTGCTTCACGTATTAATCTAATAATATGAAAGCATATTCTAATTGCTTAGAACTTATTCAACCAAATCTCACATTAAGGGGACTGTGTCCACGCAATCTGATTACGATGTAGGTATTCTTCAGGAATCATTCTACCTCTATATGCTATTGGCGACCGATCGCGGTAAACTATTTTGATATTTTTTATTATTTTTAAATTTACATCTTTTTATATTTCATGTTATTTGATATATTTCACTTATTGTATCTTTGTCTTTACCATAGTTCGGATGCGGTATATTAATATATTTTATTGTCATAATCTACGTATTTACATCATTTTGTCATTCATATAATACACCTATCCGTTACACATACCTGACGTCTCCTCTCACCCATATGCGATAGATGCGCTTTCAATCGAAATTTTGTCGTAAATATTTACGTTCCGCTATACTCGAATTACTCTATTATTATAGTAATAATAAAGGCATTTTTTCGTTATTTTGAAAATTCCTCATAATGTTAATGACTTGCAATTTTTTTATTGTAATGAACTATTCATATGCATGGATATGCATACAAAAGAGAGTATCTTTTGTATGCATATCCATGCATATGAATAGCTTTTTCTGGCGAAAATTCGAATTGCGTGTAATTTTAACACAAACATGTTTACTGAAAATGTGACTAGTATGAACTTTGATATTAGTTACCTTATCCTATGAACAAAATTACATCAAATTAAATCGATTATTGCAGAAAATTTTCATAGTAGCACATTTTGTATGGAGAGTGATCGGGAACATGCAGCCTTAACGTGAGCACATAATTAGTGTAATATGCAAATAAAATCGGATATTTCTAGTACAATTATGAATTGCTTAGATAATAAACGAAGCATTGTAATGAAATTACAGAATTACACGGTAATCCATTCATAAGGTGGGGAAAAATTACACCGTAATTACTCGATTGTTATGGGTATAAAAAAACAAGTAATGGATTGACACACGTCATTCATGTGTAGCTTTGTTACGTATCAAACGCTATAGCTTCATATTCCGTGGATGTTAATCGTAAAAATCGATTATTGTTACTTTTATCTGTACCAAAATGTGTTGTCTACGCACGTAAGTATGTATATATGATACTTCATAACATCATAAGTGATAAATGGATCGTCATCATCATCATTTGCTTCTTCCTTGATCCATTAATTAGGCGTAATATGTTTTTCTCTTCCATTCATCCCTGTTCGCAGTCATCTCGTTATTCAGTAATAATTGGAACATGATCATCATCACCTGCTTCTTTCTTATCGCATTTATTTGGGATCGGCATAATATGTCTTTCGCTTCCATTCATCTCTGCTCGCAGTCATTTCATTATTTACTCTCTTTCTTACCATATCTTTCACACAGTACATCCATCTCTTTTTCGGCCTTCCTCTGCCCTTATAACCATTCGCATTCATATGTAACACCTTCCTTATGCCTAAGCAGAAGTAATTTAAACGGTATTATGTGGCAGTGGAATTATTGGTTACCGAAGCATGACGTTTTTTATCTTCCGGAATGACACCGCCTGTAGCATCAGATGACGTGATGTTTGTGACGCAGACCATCAACTTTATCATCAGCATAAAATTCTCATCACATAAAAAGTACTAATAATAAAACCAAAAAAGTTTCAAACTAATATTGTTACTTCAATTTCTTTTGTATGCAATATGTTTAAGTATGTTTTTGAATTGTTCTTTGTTGTAGTTTTATTATATTTGTATATAGGTAAAGGAATAAAGACTAGGTATATGGAGAAAATATATATTTGGATAGCATTTACAGTATTTATATTGTCAATGTTAATTGTAATGTTATGGACAATATTAATCCACTTCTGTTCAGAAGTGATGTAACAAAACAAGAATGTACAATAAAAGGAACTATAAATTTAAATACAAATTTAGAATATAAAATACATTTTTGATTAGCCAGTTACAACATTTCATTGCAGGAAATTAGACGAGATGTATATTAAAAGTATATAGATGATTTTTTCTATAAAGTCATAAAGAAGATGAACTGGTAAGAATATCAATTATTTAAACGAATAATTGGGTACGTAAGAATTAATATCCGTATGTTATCTACATGTTGAAAGGCTATATCCTAAATCTATCCTATCCTCTATCCTATATCCTAAACTAGTAGAGTTTTTATATGAAGAATGTAGGCTTACAGATACGAGCACGTTAATATACAAAACATAAATGTTTAATAAAAAAATAACAAAATATAATAATATTTTGTTATTTTTTTATACTTTTGTTGTCATTTTATTATTATTTTCATTATTTCTGTCTATGTTTCTCCTGCTTTGATTGTATTAGTAATATTATTTCTTGTATATATATTATTTTCCTTCTGCTAGAAAATAAAAATTCAGTAAAGTTAGCTTCTAATTTAATTACTAAATAAACAAAAGAAAATCAAATGTATAAACAGAAGTTGAACTATTAAAAGAATAAGAATAATAATAAAGTATTGATGTCAACATGGAAATAAACTCTATTGGAATATAATATAGTATTGAAAAAAGTACATATATATACATATATATAAATTATATTTCATATTAGAGATATACAAATCATAATTCGAACTTATCGAATACATTAAAAACAGAGGTTTTTTTCTATATCTTATTTGTGTAGCCTCTAACAAGCAGTAATCACAAAGAGAAAATACTTTAATCTGATTGATAAGCACCCAATTGATTCCTATACAAATCTAATCACATCTAAATCAATCGAATTGTAATCGATTATTCCGATCTGTGATATAATAACATTACTATTTCGATCATAACTCTAGCATCAATCATACAAAATACCCGTTACTTTCTATATGAGATGCATGTTTTACTTATATCGATTAAATGTACTCGTTATAGTTTTAATTACTACTTTTAATAGTATCATTTGTCTATGATGAGATGGTATTTTAGGCTTTAATGTTTGTTTTATAAAATACTAGCTATTCGCTCCGGCTTCGTACAGGTATACATGTATTATACATATAAACCTTCCTCTTGAATCACTCTATCTATTGCTACTAACTTTATTAAAATCCGTTGAGTAATTTTAAGGATCTAAGCGAACAGACAGCTGAAGCAACTTCATTTTATACTATGTTAAGATGTTGATAGAATTCTTAAATATTATATATGTCTACAGATAGATACACTATTGTATTAGGCCTATGCATGTAGTGATAGTTATTTAAATAAAAATCTACATAAGTGGATTTTTGACAAAGATATATTCACATATTTAGTGACAAATGTATTATGGATACATCAAAATATAGAGCAAGAAGATTTACACTATGTTGTTTACGAACTGTGTTAGACCTATGTCTGCAATGATAGTTATGAAAAAAAATCTACATATATAGATTTTTGACAATTAGATAATCACGTATTTAGTGAATACTCCTCCTTCCTTAATACATTTGTCACTAAATCATAAAATATATAGAGATATCATAAAAAATATAGAGCAAGGAAATTTAAATTATGTTATTTGTATGCAAATCATAAAATCATAAAAAAATAAAATCTTTTTTTTAACAATATTCAGATTATATAACTAAAATACATACATTTGGAAAAGTATGTTCAGTGTAAAGAATTCATATGATTATTAACGTCTCAATATTTTGAATGAGAGTAATATAAAGTAATAGTAGTAGTTTCTAATTATAAAATATAATCTATATATACGTTTATTAAGAAGTTTCCAACGAATAAATTTCTTTATGAAAACAATTGCAATTATTATTATTTTATAAATAATATTATTTATTAAAAATAGAATTAGATATAGTAGTCTTTGTTCTAATAAATTATAACCATTTGATAAGTCATATATTTTTAATTATATATATATTCATAAAGTCTTGTGAAAGTACATTTTTCTAAAAACATTTATTGCTCCATTTACAGGTCGATTGATTGATAATCCAACAAAACGGGGTTACATTCTCAAATCAAAATGTACATCTTTGAAAAAAATTTAAAGAACACGCACACATGGACAGCGCAGTGACTACGGGCGAAAGTGTTTGCAACATAGATCTACTAAACTACTACACGAGGTATAAAACCGGAGAGCGGCGTCACAGCAACACACTCCAGCGCAATATTCGCTGAACACGTACAAGCAAAGCGAACATGAAGCTATTGGTTAGTAAAATTAACATAATAATAAAAAAAATATTCTGGACTGCAGTGAAAAAGTGTCCTTATGTCGAAGTGATAAAGTGTTTAAATGATTAATCTCATTAAATAATAATCAATACGATTAACCTTATATTAAAAAATATATTTATATTATTTTCTTTAAAATTCTATTCTCAATTTCAGAGGTCGGTCTTAATCCTGGCCGTGGCTTTGAGCCTGGCCACGGCAGAGGAAAAGGCGGGGAAGAACACAAAGGCTGTAGAAGGAAAAAAACAAGAGAAGAGAGGTCTGTCAGATTTCGGATATGGCGATATCGGAGGTCATGGTGATATTGGTGGTCATGGTGACATTGGAGGCGACATCGGTGGTCACGGCGACATCGGGGGTGACATCGGAGGTGACATTGGGGGGCACGGTGACATCGGAGGCGATACTAGTGGCGGTGACATAGGAGGTCATGCCGAGCTCGGTGGATACGAAGGCGGTCATGACGAACACGTCAAAACTGTCACAGTCGTGAAGAAAGTGCAAGTGCCTTACCCAGTGGAGAAACACATTCCGGTACCCGTCGAGAAACATGTGCCTGTACCAGTGAAAGTGCCCTACCCACAGCCGTACCCAGTCGTGAAAACTGTTCACTTTCCCGTAAAGGAATACATTAAAGTGCCTGAATACATCCCTAAACCCTACCCGGTTACAAAGCACATACCTGTACCTGTCAAAGTGCACGTTGACCGACCAGTTCCAGTAAAAGTATACGAAAAAGTACCCTACCCTGTGGAGAAACACATCCATGTACCCGTTAAGGTCCCAGTACCACACCCATACCCAGTAGAGAAGAAAGTGCACGTCCCATACAAGGTCCCAGTGAAGGTACATGTACCCTATCCAGTTGAGAAGATCGTCCACTATCCAGTGAAGGTACCCGTTGACAACCCAGTCCCAGTGCACGTTGAGAAACCTGTCCCTGTTCATGTGGAGAAGCCAGTGCCGTACCCAGTGGAGAAGAAAGTACCCTACCCAGTCAAAGTGCCTTACGACAACCCAGTGCCCGTCCACGTTGAGAAGCCAGTACCTTACCACGTAAAGGTTCCTGTGCCAGCTCCTTACCCCGTGGAGAAGGTCATCCCTTACCCAGTGGAGAAGAAGGTGCCAGTCCCTGTTAAAATTCCAGTGCCAAGGCCTTACCCCGTGCACATTGAGAAACACGTGCCATACCATGTAGAGAAACACGTACCTTACCCAGTTAAGGTTTCAGTGCCAGTAGTACATGAGGAAAAGCACGAAATCTCTCACGAAAGCCACGGTTGGAGTGGTTCTGAGGGTGGCAGCGAGGGTGGGTACGAGGGTGGATACGAAGGCGGATATGGGGGTGGCGACGAATACCACCATTAACAGAACTGATCTCTTTGTTTTTGTTTTAGCTTTAACTGTTAACTTGTTTTTAGTTCCTCTAAGTTGTTTTGCGACTGGTCAATATCGACTGCATACGAGTCGATGTGTGTAATAAAAAAGTATTAAAAATGTGATAAAATATAACTGTACTTTCTTTTCCTAACCGCAATTCATTTTATTTACCATAAAATTTAATGCCGTATTCATAATAATCTAACGACGAATACTTGAAGCATTCAAACGACAATTATCTAAAAGTTAAGATTATTGTTAGTAATGGGCCATATTGCTAGCAAGGTAATATTACTTCGACCTCCACGCGGTCCCCTGAAAACCATTGTGGTCAATTTGTAGTGAATTCACCACGACCTAACTTCATAATATTTCTATCATCCTCCACTGGTGCCCCGCCGGCATGCACCAATTCAGACGGATGCATCATTCCATTATAAAAAAAAATAGAGTTTATATACTTTAGTGCAACATAAAGTTCGAAGATTTCATTGTTTGATTAATTCTAATTTTTTCACACTACTCTAATGCTGTTCTACGGCCAACAGCATTAGAGTAGTGCGAAAAAAAATATTGGCCTTTACAACTTCAACGGATGATAGAGTGCGAGTGCAGATGGTACTGCCAACCCGCCGATGGATTTATGGAACGGCTGGGCACCGACAGAGGTTTGAACCTCGGTTCAGGCCGTCGTAACTTCGACCCCCGTTTGAATTGGACGGTAGATCGATTGGAGGGAAAATAAAATATGTATGTACACCATTACCCATTAATTTCCTATTCGTAATTACTTAGGAAAACGTATATATTACTGCCTAGTTATATAATACTTACGCAACCTATCGCAAGAGGTTGATGCCTCCACATAACGTTACAGCGTGATAAATAATAACATACGTCTTTATGTTAGTAATAATATTGTTACGAAACCGGTTTACTGTAACTGCACTAATATATATGCAAAGTATTTCTGTCTGTCTGAGTTTGAGTTACGCTTTTACGCCTAAATCGTCGGCTAACAATTGGTCATTTTGATTTTTCATTACATATAGATAGTAATATATACATATATATATATTTAATTATCTCAAAGTTTGACATTTATTATTATTATTTACATAACCTAATTGTACAACTATGAACCTAAAATTAAAAAGATTAAAAAATATGATATGATGACTAAAATATATTAACTCAAATATATAGAAGTCTCGTGTCACAATATTAGTTGCCGGCGGCTTAATTTATTTATTTATTTATTTAATTTTAATTCGGATTACATCCATATTGTGTTAGTAAAAACTTATAAAACTATGTTAGTAACTTATAATATACATATACGTAGATATATTTAATTCATATATCTGTGTCCACGTCCAGAAGCACTGGGTCCACAATGCAACGTTATCCAGTGCCTCTGGAGCGGACAATCAGGTATATTAGCAACAGTTTTTTAATGAATATAGATAAAATTTTATATGTATATGTACTAGATAGGTTTGACAATAGTGTATAATCGGCAACGCGCACGTGGCACTCCTAGTGTTTCAGGCATCCATAGGCTACGTAACTATTTACCATCACGCCCAACTAAATAGTTATAAATTAATGTTGTGTATTTAATATTATGTAAATAGTTATGGTATATGGTATGAGAGTTTGCCACCAAGTAGAAAAAAAAATTGTACCACTAGTTTTTTTATTTATTTATTGTTTTTTTATTCCTGATCTCTCTAGATTTAGATATAGGAAAAAAAATGTAAATATAAATACCGCATATTGACTTGCTATAACAAAAAGTAATTATATTAAAGAAGTTTTCTTATTGTTCAATAAACGAAATATAACAGTAAAATTTATTTGGATATAGTTCTTCATAAATAAAAACCAGATATATATATAAAAATATATTAAATTGCACTTCTGGAAGGAGTTTCGCTGGCTACTAGTAGTCTCGGCTCTATTCACAAAGGTGAGGATGAATTCAGAAAATGGAACTTTAATCTCGCCTTTATTTAAAAACGTGAGGATGAATGCGGAAAATGGAGTCGACTTTACATTTATTTTTATTTATTTATTAAAACTTTAATGCACAAATGCATACAAAATACATTGGTGCATTTAAAATAATAAAAAAATATGTACGAGTATATAATTAAAAATAACAATTTATATTTACTACAGATTAAAAATGACTTACCTTATATATGGAATGTTGGCTGGAATGTGATATTTCGCGCCGGGATCGAAGTCCAACTCGGAACGGAGAACCGGAGGTTTGATTCCCTGATACTGCTCCCTGTTAACAATGAAAATAATTATTGTACAGACTATAAAATGGGATATTATTGTGATAATCTATACAAACAAAAAAAAATGAAATGTCTAATTGTATTTTTAAATTAACGGCTTTTTACTAAATGAAAGTACATAGGGTAATAAAAAAATTCATAAAAAAATATCTGTGTATCTGTTCTAACTAAATACTCTGAAATAGTTAGACTGATTTTGATAGGACTTTCTCTATTGCATCTTGAGTTATTTCTGCATTATATACATTAATCCTTAAAATTACTTTTTCAAAATAATATACAGGCGTATACGCACACACTCTCTCTCTCTCTCTCTTTCTCTCTCTCTCTCTCTCTATCTGTAGTTACTTCTCTCTACTCTTCCATAATTTTTATAAATAAGCTATGGAAAAGTGTAGCCTCCTCGCACAGCCATTTTTAAGCTTAAAAGGAAACCTCAACTTGTACTATTTATTTAAAACAGCAACACATAAGTTTCTAGCTCATTCTTCTTGTGATGAGTCTGCATTCCGAATGAGTGTAGAATAAAATAATGTGACTATGCAAAAGTGCTTACATTAAGTTTATTTGAATAAAGATTATTTCTATTTTTATTTAGATTAATTAATTAAATATTGTATTACCAAAACAAAAGATTTGAATTGCTTATATATATTTATAAAGTACTAGCAGTGCCCGCGGTTGCTCTCGCGTAAAATTTATAGCCTATATGTTATTCTGATATATAAGCTATGTTACTGTAAAGTTTCATCAAAATCCGTTCAATAGTTTTTGCGTGAAAGAGTAACTAACATTCATCCAAACTCACAAACTTTTATGTTATAATATTAAATAGATGGTTTTAGAGTAAACAGATTAATATAGTTATAAGTAGTGATGTATCAACAGACACACAACTATGAAAGTACTAGTATTTCGGAAGCTGAAATTTTTGCAATGCCATTGATAACAGGGATCGAATCTTGTTACTCAAGGTTACAAACCGGTGTATAATTCATTAGTCTAATGAGATTTATTTTTGTACGTACATAACGTAATAAGTGTGTGCAAACAGTAAAAAATCGGGTCAATTTGTCAACGTATACATGGTTTTAGCTGTTACGTAAATGCTTAACCAATTTCGATGCATGCAATAAAATGCAGCTGAAAAAATAAATAAAATGAAAGTAATTACCGGTGCAAGTTACAAACGCTAACGGATAAATTTTGTGTGTGTATTTTAAATATGTAATACTGTGTAATCTGTGATTTTAAGTATTCATAGCCTTTATTTTTTGTGCTTTTCAAAATAGAAGATGTGAAATTTGTTATGCACGATTGTTATGTTTCGTAGTTTTTTTTTATTATTTCTTCATCTATACTATCAGGGTAATTGTAGTCAAACAATTTCTGTAATTTATTATTTAATTTTACAGTGCATTTTTTTAATAATCTGTTCAAAAATAAATTATATCGTGCAATTAAACAATAAATATATTTTTTTGTGCTATCCTCCAAGCAAGGGTAAAAATAAATGGCGAAGATTCCATATTATTTTATGCATTAGGACTACCGACAAAATATTTCCAACTTCATCCATATAAACATAAAGTTTAAATTGTTACTTCACTAGTGTAAAATAGCAAAATATTTGATGTCACACTACAGACAAAAAGAGGGAAGGGGAGAGTGAGAAAGAAAGAAGAATGCGTAAAATCAATAATGAAAGACGCACGTCATAAATTAGAGAAATTATACATACATATGATACTATGAATGTTGTAGTAAATTTTATTTTTACATTTCTATCAATTATCAAATATATTTAAGTACACTTTTATTAGAATCGCATTTAGATGTAAGAATTCCATATACCTTATGTAATCTGCTTCCGCTTATGACTTATACCATTCACTTTTGTTTTTGTTTTCGCATGAGAATTGAACCCGTTACAGTCAAGGCCGACAGACGACCGCAATTCCATCACTTTTCTACAACAGATCTAGTTCAACCATCTCATTCTTTTGACATTTATGTCAGTTTTACAATTGTGTATTGACATTTAAATTTCTTGATGACTTTTGGAAAGTTTTTACAAATCATTGTAATGGAACTAATAAGTATTAGTTACACAACTAGACACAGTTGCATGTATGTGTGTAAAATTACAGAAACTAACTTTTTTAAAGTTGGTCGGACATAAAATGGATTGTCACGGCTTATAACTTGGAATCCGACGCTAGGTATAAGGTAAAGCTAAAGGGGAATAGCTCAGATAGGATGCTGAGGTTAAAGTACCTAACTTAAAAAATAATATAAAATTTAAAAACTTTTATTTCATGTAAAAATCTAATGAATGAATTGTAATAAAATAAAATGATTTGTATATAAGTGTAAGCAATAAACTGTTGCATACGTCTCTTATTCTGTAATTTTATTCCCTGTTCTAATTCTACAACCTAAACACAGCTTACAAGTATAGCAGTTAAAATAAGAGAGCCTGAGGTTTCCACGGAGACCACTTTTTATCTGTTTTTACAAACTTCTGTAACTTTGACTTGCAGTAAACTTATCCCTTCAACAGTTAGCTTTCAAAATGACATACAACTACGGTTTTGTTTTTTCATTCAACTTTTAAAAATTATATAGTAGCTGTAAAAATTTTATATTATCTTTAGAAGGGCAATGGTGTCTGAAACACCAACTTGGCCTAGTTTAGATACTACTACACTGACTTGGTATCATATGGAAATAGATTTAGGATCTTATTTAAGTACATTTTGTAACTATTTTTTGCACAATATACTTATTATTATTATCACCTGTAAGACCAATTATAAGACTTCTCAAGGATGGGGCTATAGTCTCCGAGACCAATAATTGGCTTCATAGAGGTTAAGTTAATGTTCATCATATTTTTTTTTATTTTATTTTGGCACATAACTGTCAATACATATACAAGTAATATAATATAACAATATGTTGATAGAAAAGACCAAACAGTGCCGAAATTAAAATTTTTTATGATTTCACATCTGAACGGCAAATGAATCTATGTTGGTATTAATTATGCAACTAGATAACGTTGCATGTACTCGTATGTACAATTACAGCAACGAACTTTGACTTTCAGTCAACTTAATTGAGATGCTCATCATATGATTTCTTGTGAATGCCTTAATAAATAGTAAACGAATTATTAAGTTACTTCCGCTTGCATGAAATGTGACGGAAAGCATCGTTTAGCATTTTAGTCTGTGTCACGCATGCAATAGTGATATTTTTTTAAACGACTATAAAATACAGGAGGTTCCCATTTAGACAACATTTTCTTGTGTATTACCTTAAATTTTAATGTAGGTTCAACGATTTTCTTTACTCCATTTTTATTTGAAAGATGGTGTTTCTCAATTCTTACTAATATTAAAAACGCGAAAGTTTGTGAGTATGGAAGTATAGATGGATGGATAGATGGATGGATGGATGTTTTATATACACTTCTGTCACTGTGTACTACTATATTAAACATCTTACAAGCATTAGAATTGAATATAATATCGTATTCATCTTGTTATTCACTTCCTTTCTTATCATATCATCCTTCACACAGTCCATTCATCTCTTTTTCGGTCTTCCTCTGCCCTTATAACCATCCATATTCATATATAAATACTACAGTACTATAATTTGTTAGTCCTATTTTAAATATCACTTTAACCTAAGTATACATTGTTATCTGTAACCGCTCATTCTTCTGCTGAAGAACAAAAGGATTTTTAAATGTAACTCCAAAATTGCGTAAGGCTTTAGAAACAAGATTATTGTTACGTTAGTATTGTTTCATTGTATTTTATTTACTAAATCTATTTCTGGATAGTTTTTGACGATCTTTTCTTTATAATATATTTTTACAGATATATTTAGTTTTGATACAACAAGTTTTGTTGTAATCATTCCAGTATGTTTTTTTTAATAGATTTTATTGCAGATTGCTTTTTGCTAATAATATTCTCATAAAATCATAGACCCGTAAAATATTGAAAATATCAGCAGTTGACTTTCATAAGTGCAATTTATTATCACATATCCAAGGAATATGTTGCACGATATAATTGGACGTAGAACCCTCGAAAAAATGTTATTAAAAAAAATGTAATGTAATATAATTATTTCTATTCCTATACTAGGCAATTTTTTTCACAATTAATTCAAATGTCGTCATTAGTATTATAATATCTTTTCACTATATTTATTATGATTCCTGTAATATTATCTGGAGTTAATAAATATATGTCGTTAATTACGTCAAATGTTTTTTAATATTTACGAAAATTTAAGAGTTACGAAGTTCCAACTTTTACTATCTTTCCAGAACAACATAAAATCATACAATTTTACTTCTTATATTTTTACGTAGTGTGTTGAAACAGTTATTTTTTTAATTTAATTATTATTTAAAATTAGATATCTCTTACCATTTTTAAGTATAACTTTTTACCAATCGATAGACTATTTACATTTCTTTCTCGTATACTTTTATGAGCCACATAACGCCATGTAGTCGTGACGTAATATCCGCTCGTGCGTCCTAAGTAATTATCTGTTACTTGTGGGACAGCTAATTACGGAGTAGATCTTCATATTATCATAGATAAAAAAGGTAATCGTATTACGTAGCACGTAAATAACGTACTCTCTCTTTGTATAGATCGAGATAAATGAACTTTAGAACTGACATTAAATATAATCCTTCTAATAGATCCCCCGTCCAATTCAAACAGGTATCGAAATTACAGCCTGAGCCGAGACTAAAGTTGTATCCGTCAGGCGGGAGTTGGCCTTCAGCCGCTCCATAAGTCCTTCCGAGGGTTTGGACTTGTGTGCCATTTGCACTCGCCCCTATCTTTCGGTGAAGCTGTAAAGGCCAACTGCGGCGAACAGCATTAGAATAATCCGAAAACAAAACATTAAATATAATAGATATTGTTTAATGAATGAGCATGTAACGGGCAGGTTCGGAGTGATACCGAAAAGCTCAGAGTGAATTTAGGTGATATGGACATATTTTGCGAAAACCCGAAAACCACGTAGTGAAGAAATACCTTTCCATAGCTACAATGAAAAGACAGCATAGACATTGTCCTAAAACACTATCAGTGAATTAAAAAAAAATACCAACCTCAATCTCCACCAATGACAGTTATACTGTTCCTTCCTCACATCGCCCGTGAACACATCCCATCTCCACCTGTCCATGACCAATGCGAATGGTAGGAAGGCAAGCTTGTCCATAGCCTGAGTGAACAGATAGTTGGTATCGTGGGCTGTGTCATCAACAGAACGCTGCACCAGGCCCAGGGTTTGGAGATGGCGCGGTGATGACACCGAGAGAGCGATAGCCTCGCCAATCGCCTCATGGAAACCTGGGAAGAGTAACAGAAATGTAAACATCTATCTGTAAAAAAAATTGCCTAATTTACCGTATAACTAGGCTCTATCAATATAACTATCTAAAATAGGTATAACAGCATCATTTCAGAACAGCTAATCCTTCCTTGCTATGGTTTTCATTACTAAGGTTTCCATTAAAAAAATATGAAGTACTTTTACGTCTTTATTCTCAGACCTACTGAAAATATGCACAAAATCTCATAAGAATCTGTCGAACCATTTCAGAATAGTATTGTTACAAAAACTGTGACACGAAAATTTTATTTAGAGTATTGTAACTTCTAGGCTATTTATTAAATATAAATAAAGAATAAAGGGTTGAAAGGGTAATGAAAAATTGGAGATATTTTCATGTTTAAAGATATAGGTTTGAAATTTATTTTTTAGACTGTTGATGAAATATGAATAAATATGACATTGAAAGTTTGTAAAACTCTAACCGTTAAGGGGTTAAAAGAAAACAAGGGATTAAAGTTTGTACGGAGAATCGTCGTTTTTAAAGCTAGAACTATGAAACTTTTTCATTCCCCTAATATTATTTCTTTATTTGGTCGAGATTACTATAACACGCGGACGAAGTCGCGGGCACAGCTAGTAGTAGTTTAAAAACGTGGTACGAAATTCGACACTATTACAAACATCCAGGTCAGTCAGGTCAGATCAACGTAATCACAATAAAAACTGTACACAATTACTTGCAAATTTCTGAAATACATATGAAATTTGCAAAATTCTCAAAACATAATATCTTTTTTATACAAATAGATATATAAGTGTATGCTCATCACATAATAACAAACATGCTCGGCTTAACATTAGGTATCTGAAATATAACAAAACAAGTATGCATTGTTTAGAGCTATGCTCTAATTACGAGTTCTGCAAATAAATTTTTATCATTCTATTGTTCAACTGTTTTTAGTTTATGTTATTACATTCAAACTACATAATCGAGCCGGTTTCAATTTATTTTACAAGAAACACTAAAAACTATATGCTTTTATTTAGAACTATTCGTAATATTTTAATTTTTTTTTAATTTATTTAGGACTAACAAACAGTAATACAATATTATATATATATATATATATATATATATATATATATATATATATATATATCTCAATCACAGTTTACGTAAGACAATAATTATATAATCATGCCAATTTATTTAGAGTAATATCCGTCATACTCGTGAACGAGTGCTGCTCGTGAATCAGTCCCTGCAGGACTGATCTGCTCTAATCTGTACGACCAATTTACTCCTAATTTGTTACTCAACCAGTTGGTTGTATATTTAATATTGTCATATTCGTTTTTGTTAAATTCATTAATTTAAAATTTATTAAATTAATGAATTTAACGAATTAAAAAAACGTGTATTTTATTACATTAGGTTTAATTTGAATCAAATGAAATAAAAATATCATTTATTCATATAAGAAATTTTAGCCGCTTATGAACGTCAATTTTTTTTTATTTAAATGTTTTCCCTGTCGTCCAGAAAGATACATAATATAATGTGGGTTATACAATTTATCTATGAACTATTGCAGTCTTTATCTGAACGTGAAACAATTCATTGAACTCCCAGATACGTAAACACGACCGCGGAGAAAGTGCTTACGGAAATGAACCTGGTACCGATTGATACTAAACAGAACAAAGTATAATAAAGTCTAACATAAGACTCTATATAATAAAATCGTTATATCATAACGGGGTGAAAGCAACCTTTTTGTGTGTTAAGTTTTACATAAATAAGGACTAATTGAAATGGTTCCAAAACCATTCATTCATTCCATTTGAAAATTTTGGCAAAATTAATTAACTATTCACATAAGTAATTAATTCTGTCAAAATTTTATAACCAATCAAATAACAGATGTTTTATTTATTCTTGTTATTTAATTACCATCAATAGACTTACAATAACAATAAATATACATGCATACGAAGTCGTAGATATCTATATATATATATATAGCTATGTTAACCAACGGATTCCGTCATCCGAAAGAAATTATAAAGAGTGGCGCAATTTCGATTGTAATTCGATGTTACTTATTAAGAACCATCTCCGATCTCTCATCCAATTCAAACGGGGATCGAAACGAGGTTCGAATTACCAGCGGTGCCCTCAGACTGAAGTCGTAGTCAGGTAGGAGTTCGCCTACAGCCGCGTATCTCTATCATTCAGCGAAGTTTTAAAAGCCAGCTGCGGCCAACAACATTAACCAAAATCAGTAGAATATCCTTCCTATACATAAGGTCATTAATGAAATACTAGACCAATACACGTAATATCGACCTTCGAAGTTACGTGTCAATTCTTCAAAAGAATTCATTGGCTACATTATTTTTTTATTTAAAAATTGTACTAAAGATTACGGTCGAGTGGAGCTCAGAATAACTGAACTTGACCTGCTTGTATGAACCACGCGAACCGCATAAAAAGTAAAGTGATAAAAACAGATATAGTAAGACTAGATGCGACAGCTTGGATGTAGGTACATGGATGCAAGGAGATGTTAGTAATGCGGACTAGAACAATACTGCTAGTAATGTTAGATCTACCTCCACACGGTTCCCACTGGAAACATCTTTCTCATTTTATCATCAATCGCTGGAACCGCCAGCGTATACAATTAGGGAAGGTGGCTGAACAATTACAAGGTGATCCATTAAAAAAATACAAACTTAGATGTTAGTTAAATAAGATTATTGAAATTCAATATCACTTTTAACTCTCTCAACGCTAGTTATATAGTATATCAGCCATTTCAAAAAGACCCAGCTAGCAAAGACCCAATTTCAAAAATAATTTCTATAAGGACAAATGCAGATAGATTTATTTTTGCATTTGTTGTGTATTTGTCTGTCATTTCGCATCGACGTCCGTAGATATGGTCATTGAAAATAAATAAAAACATCAAAATTATAAATTAACTCGTAATTATATATTTTTACAATCATTTTAATACAATCAGCGATGTAACAATAATGTGAAGAATGAAAAACAAAAGACGATCTTACTCTCGAGAACACACAGAGTTCTTTGTTTGAAAATTATAAAATAAGTTTTTAAAACTGTTTAATAGTATGTCTCGTGCTACAAACTCCAATATTGTAATGAATTTACCCGTGATCATGCTGAAATATCGGAAACATCGGCTTCAAAAAAATAAAACTTAAAATTTATTTGAACTTTTAATTGAATTAAAAATAAAACTTGATAAAATCCTGTGATTTTTACTAATTATACGTATCTAATATTGAATTTGTAAAAAATAAATACCGATTAAGAAAATATGTTTCTTTAATAATATAAAATGTATGTGTCTTGTCTCTTCCAGTCACACATACACACACTATCTCACGTCATGAATAGTGCTTGAGATGCGCGTGAATTGCGTAACGACACTGTAATCATTTATGAATTAATTTCCGTACATTTTCTATACTACACTCGATCAATTAGAGTGAGATATATTTTCAATTATTACTTATTTCTATTAATGGCTTAAAGCTTATGGTTTTAAAAATAATTATATAAACTGAACATTTATTGTATGAAAGGCTCATATTTTAATACTATTCAGTCAGTTTCGTCTTTTAAACATCATTTTAAAAATATTTACTCAAAGTACAAAAATCTTAAACGTGGCAGATAAATATAGTAGATAAATATATACACATATATATTGATTAAATAAATAAATATGTTACTTATATTATATTCAAGCTATATTATATTACACAAAAGTCTTTCAATCATTTCAATTTTACGAAATGTTATCCTTATATATTTTTCTTCTATTTATCACACATACTTATTATTCATCCATTTAACTGATTCTTCATTTTACATATTTAAATTCATCATGAATGCTATTTCTTTTTTTCAAATAGCTCCACTGAAAATCAGCGCTGTAGTGACACGCTGCGACACCAGCTGAGTGGAAGCCTTTTCAGCACAGCGAAATATTAGTTTTTATGTTTTCTTTTTTACTCTGTACTCTTTTTTATGCTGAATAAATTTTATTTTTTTTAAACTATGGACTAACTCAATATAAGTACCTAGGTGTTATAAGTACATAAGTAATTACTTTGGGGCTAAAACCTGTAGCACTGCGACCTGCATTGATCTATTCAAGTAACTTAAATATAGGTATAATGTAAATATTATAAAAAAAGACGAATCTTCTTACAAAACACCTCGTTTTATTATCTTTAATTAATCTTATTACTTTTATGATAAAAGTTTCATTCAAATTCAAAGTCAATCAATTATTCATCGCTTTTAGAAGTATAGTAACGAACCTCGTAGAAAAAAAATCATAATGTTCAAACTTCTAATACGAAATAATTATGATAGAATTTTGATCATTGGGAGACTACTTGTATTATTAAATTTAAAATAAAAAATCATTTATTTTAAATTTTAAAAATTTTTACCGTTGTTTGAACGTTAAGTTTTTGTATTAATATTCTTTCATTTCATTCCCTAGTTCTCTTCTCCTTAGTTACCATCCATTTCAGTATACAGATTCAATTGTGAAGAACTGGCAAGAAATTCAAACAAATTTCTTTTTTCTTAAAGCCATTTACAATAATTCAAATTAATTCGCTTCTTAGTTAGTTCGCTTCATGATTTAAACTACTCAATCAATTTTAAAGCAGTTATCAGCATTAAAAACAGTGTTTAAGAGGTAAGTTTATATTTATAATATATGTATATTATACTACAAAAAAGCCGAAAAATTAATAGATTTGTAATGTAATCGTGTGGAGCCGGGACGGGTCGTTAGGTTTTTAAATATTAAAGGTGCACTCTAGTTTGTCGTGCGTATACGCAATTAAAACTGTATTATAATGGTTGCCCAACACGCACCATGTTCTATATTTCGCAAGATCGGAACGTACGCTGTTTTGGCTCTAATTATGTAAAATGAAGTGACTCTAGTTGAGATAATAGTTATTTAACTGTTACCTAACGCGTTTCTCGACTGCGCTAGAACGCGATCAGAATTTATAGCCTTCGTTACAGAGTAATGTACAATCAATATTCCTATACGGTATTTATACGATACTAGTTACTTGCCGCGGTTGCTTTTACTTTCTATTTTAATTTAAAAAATTTTTGTACATCATTGTAGGCTGGTTTTAGGCACCAGACCGAAAGGGTGTAGATTCGGATCCCACCACTATCACCATGTCAGATAATTTGCGAACTAATTTTATTTTAATTAGGTAATTCTATATTCTAAAGCAATACAACAAATGCAACATACCCACATAAAATTATATTATAAAATTATTACTACAATTATCTTAAAAAAAAAATTTATCATTAAAGTTCATAAGTGACATCGTTCCGTTGTGAAAATATAAGACAGACAGAAATACTATTCAATTTTTAATATAAAATATTCATTACATTCATAATATCACAATGTAAATATAAGAAATAAATTAAATGGTTATCTAAGGAAAGGAAAAGCGTAATTAAAAAAAAATATCATCGGCCGTCCCAGTTTCATACGAGTTCGAAGTTGGAAACAATTTTTTTTTTGCCTATGTTTTTATATGAGTGCGTAGTGATTTCTACATTGATTGTCATATGCCTAATCATTGTTAATTTAAATCTACTTAAAACAACATTTATTTAAAAGAACAACAAACAAGTTTCTTGTTCATTCTTCTTGTGATGAGTATGCATTCCGAATGAGTGGTAGAATAAAAAAAAAGTGACTATTCAAAATGCTTATATTAAGTTTATTTGAATAAAGATTATTTCTATTCTATTCTATAATAACTATATTGTTTTACATATATGACATAAGTCAATACAATATTTTTCGACTATACCGGTGCCCTTTGTTTGCTCGTCTCGTCTTCGATCTCTGTCCTTTGCATCAAATCCATTATTTTAACTCAAGTGACTATTCCTGAAGGGACTACCATCCAGTTCGGCTAGGATAGAATTCTTAAACCTATACTCTACACTTTAGTATACTTGGATTAAAGTTGAAACTTTAATCCAAGTATATATTCATGATTAAAGTATATAGAGCAAGGGTGGCCAGCAGGTCGATCGCGAATGTTAGTCCAGTAAATCGTGGCAATGGAAAAATATAGTATAGAATAGAATAGAATAGAATAGAATAGAAAATCATTTATTCAAATAAACTTAATTTAAGCATTTTTCAATCTACCACTCATTCGGAAAGCTGTCACATCACAAGAAGAACGAGCAAGAAACTTGTGTATTACTCTTTTAAATAATCCTTGTAAGTTCACATTACATAATTCGAAACGTGTGAATACAAATTACCAACCAATTTATTAGGTTTATATATAAGTACACAATAAGATTAAATCAGTCTTAATAATAAGAGCAGACCAGTCCCTACAAGCAGCACTCGTTCATGAGTATGACGGATGAGCCAGCCATCACTGCGCTCGACCATATTTTAGGGAGCCCAATAACCCGGCCCATCACGCCGTCACATGTCTGGACATTTTAGTGAGCATGATTACTCATGAATACGTAGACAAGACTGCGCAACGTAAAAAAGGTTGGCAATTTCCAACTACAAACCTGATTAACTAAACTCAAACTAAACTAGTGGAAGATGCTCAGACGCAATACTCACACTAATATAAAAGTAAATAAGTACCGAGTTACTAAGAATAATTTTCACATTTATGTTTTTTCTCTTAATAAAATAAAAAAAATACTACATGATTGTGTACTGAACTATGCTTTATTTAAGACTAGCTTTTACCCGCGGTTTCGATCGCGTTAATTTATCTCCTTAGGGGTGGAATTTATCAAAATCCTTCCTTAGAGGATGCCTACGTCATAGTAGCTTTATGCATGCAAAGTCTCAGCCCGATCGATTTAAAATTGACAAAGTTTCATACAATCTTTCAACCCCTATTTTATCCCCTTGGGGGTAGAATTAATCAAAATCCTTTCTTAGCGGATGCCTACGTCATAACATGTACCTGCATGCCAAATTTCAGCCCGATCCGTCCAGTCGTTTGGGCTGTGCGTTGATAGATCACTATGTCAGTTATATATTTAGATTTGAATAAGTATGTAATTGGTAGATCGCACAGGGTTTCAATAGTACACAGGAGAACTTGGGTCTAATCAAGTTGGTCACCCCTGTTATAGAGTGTCCTTAGATAACAACTTGGTCTGATGTAAGATGAAATAATGTCACCTTACTTCCCATTCCGCGGCCGGTTCTAATGGAATTTCTAACTGGATTTGTACTTTTATTGATTGTCGAGTACATAGTCAGATAAGTGTTACAGCATCCACGCGTTTCTCTTAACAGTTCAAAACAAAATTAATATCCGTGTATGGCTGTTTGTTGATTTAAACTTCTAACTACGTAATGGATTTCGATATAATTTTCTGCCATATAGCTGTGCATTGGACTATCTCGATGTTCTAGCGTTTTAGCACTTACTTCCGACGGTTACGGGTTCGAATCCTTGCACACATTCATGAGCATGATTGTATTGGTCTGAGTATTTTATTATATTTTGTATCTATTCATATCTGTTATCTACTATCCATAATACAAAATCTGCTTAACTTCTGACTAGATAACGCTGTGTAAATTATTCTGAGATATTATTAAAAATATTAACTGACAATTGATATGAAAACAAAGATTTTTGTGTTTCTAAATACATATACTTAGAAAACAGCCAGACTGATACAAACAATCATACTCATGAATACAAGTTTGCAACGAACCGGAATCGAATCTAACACCAATAAAAGTAATGCGGTGTAATAGCTACATAAACCGCTAACCATCGAGGCCGTCAGATCAATAATGTAGTACGTTAAAGTTAACTATATACTGTAGTTTAACCGTACCTACCTCTTATATTGGTCATCCTTAACTTAATTACTGTACTATAGGCGCCTCGCATACCGAATCCAGTTCAGTGTCTTACAGTGTCCCAGTTATTCTACTATTACTATGTTTTCAATATCTAATACCGTTACAGTTACATTTATTTTAACTTTGAGTTGCAGTTTAAAATATGGTAAGTGAGTAGTTGTAAAAAAAATTATGGATTCATCATTGCCTTGCTTTCATCCCGTTACTTGAGGTAATATTCTCTCTTCTTCCACTAGTCCCTATCGACCTTCATATCTGAGCTTACTCTCCTTTTATATATATCATCTTTCATACAATCCATACATTCTATAATTCGTCGTCTTCTCCCTTTCCATCCATCCATGTTTATTTAAACACTTTTTTTAGAACATGGTCCTCGCTCCTCTGCAAATGTGGACTCATGAACCCATTACTAACAATGTAGCATTTCAGGTTGACCTCCACGCGGTTCCCCCTGGAAACCATCGTGATAAATTCCTGGGGAATTTGTCACGATGGGTTACCTGACCTGACCTCATGCTCATCTTATCATCCTCCACTGGTGCCCCACCAGAGTAAACCGTTAGCGCAGGCGGGGACACCATCCCATTATCATCCATAAAAAAAATAAAAAAAAATCATTCTGTTATCTCGCAATTTGACAGATTATTAGATTCTTAATTCTTAATTATCTTTTATCATATAAAAGAAAAGATAAGTTAAAATCTAGTCTAATTAGTACACATGAATCTCTTTTCGCCCTATGATTGAATGGTAGAAAATGCCTCGAGGTGTTAAGTCTGGTGGACGTGCTCCTTTATTTATGTATAAGCTGTGCCCGTGGTTTCATTCGCGTGAAGTTAGCCTATTTGTTATTTTGATGTTTAAGCTATATTGTTGTAAAGTTTCATTCCAGTAAGTAGTTTTTCATCCACACTCACTAACTACGTAAGATCACAAATATTAGCATTGTACATTGAAGTTTTTATACATTAATAAATAAATACATTATTAGTTTTTTATACCAAGATGGTGACAAAGAAGCATACGACCCATCTGATGGTTACATTTAAACTCTGTTAAAAATAATACGCTTTTTTGGTGTATGTTCCGTATTCATATGCATGTAGTAAAAAATGGTTATTTCAATATTACAAACAGACACTCCAATTTTATTTATATGTATAGATAAAGATTATTCTATATAAAACGTGTGCAATAGGTGAATTTGTTGATGGAGAAAATCATACATACAATGTTGTATAGTTTTCTTCATCAGAATTTTTTAGACAATATCCAAAACATATAGAAAAACGCGGCTGTGGACTATGTTTTAGAATAAGTGTATACTGTACTGATATAATTATATATATACTGTTCACTACACAATTTATTTATTTTATTTGTTAACACTTCAATCCACAGATACACAAATAAAGTTGAACATGGCAGATTTAGGATGTGCATGTTTCTTGATATACCGCAGTAAAAATAATAATTAAATTAAATTTATTCTTGATTTCTTCAAAGTTGCCCGTTTCTTAGCAATAACAATGCTAATTTTAAATGATAAAATTACTTGAATGACAAATGTGCATGACAATAGTAGTTCATGTACGGGATTTTCATTTAATGTTAGACATAGGTATCTGTTTAACTTTAAATAAAAATACATAAGTACATAAAGTAAATAAATCAGCTTATAAAAAAAGAAATTCAGTTAAGTTTCTTGCCAGTTCTTCTCAATTGAATCTGTGTACGGAACTGTTTGGTAGGAAAAAAATTTAATTAAAAAAAAATCGACGCTCATAAGCGACTAAAATGTCTTACATGATTTTTTGATATGATTTGATTTGAATGTGATGAATTATACTTTTTATTCCACAATCAATGTGTCTAGTAACTTAACACCTTGAGGCAAACATAAACTAACAATAAGCTTTGTTTTCAGCATCTTCAATTCTCTGCTACGATTGCAACAGTGCATTTGATCCTCGCTGCGGGGAGGAGTTTGATTCCTTCAGTTTGGGAATAGTCAACTGTTCTTTACGAGATCCTTTGGAGCACCTCCCTCCTATAGAACCTACGTTGTGCCGCTCAATCAAAATGGAAAGTAAGTTCTATACTGTAAGGTCTAAAATGAATTAGCATACAGTTATCAAAAGATTGCCTGATGAATCTAAATAATGACGAACCGGTATAAAAACTTCACACTCAGTTCTGCAAAATGAATACGCATACAGACATATACAAATATTCACACACATACATAGCAATACCATACACCTTTTTTCCCCATACCTCTTTATACACAAAAAATCAACATTCCTTTGTTTCAAGCTTAGCAACACACAAGATTCTCTATCGTTCTTCTTGTAAAGAGTTCCGAAATAAAAAAAATATGACTATCCAAAAGTGCTTGTATTAAATTTCTTTGAAATGATTATTTCTATTTCTAATACCTACATCGTAATTTTATTGCGTGGACTCACTCGGTCTTATTACAAAAAATCTGTTAAAACTCGGACGAAACGTGGTCTAAATGGTCGTGGTTTAAACCATTCCTAAAGTTAATACTTGGAATAAACCTAACATTATTACGAATCCAGATCTAACAGAGGACTACTTAGTACTACTGTTAAATCGTTCATTATGTATTCCATACAGAAATCAGTCACTCATGTCTGTCACCGTACAATTACGTTCCATTTTACCAGAAAACTGAAAAGATCAAAAATAATATTAGTTCAAAGAAAAATGTGTAAACTAAAAATAAATTTATTTCTATTCATCTATGTCTTCATTATAACTATTTCATTAATATATAATATTTATTAATGTACTATTAGGCTGAAAATCAGTTTTAAATTACAAGTAGGAGTCCTATACGGAGAAAAGGAACGGCGAGATATTTTTATTGGATCGTTCGAATGGTGACTATTTCAAAGTCAAATGAGTGAAAAAATAACAAATAACGTCTTTTATATATTTTTATTGTCGTAAAATTTGCTTTAAATATTTTTAGTTAATATATTTTTAATTTAGTTAAAATATTTTTCCAAAAACTACAACTTACAATAGAATTTTTAAAATGGAGTTTGTATTTTTGCATTTAGACCACTGTTAAACTAGGGGCATCGCAGGTCTAACTTTAGACCATAGACGAATCACGATTTAGAGATAAACTTCATTTTGTAATAAGGAATACATTGGTGAATGGTTTATTACTAGTGCTAAACCAGGTTTATCTTTTTGTAATAAGGCCGACTTAATCAATCAATTTTTATTCATGTCGCTCTATTACAGACTCTTATGATATATCTAATCTACCGTCAGTGCGGAATGCTTTCAAGATGAGAAGTGACAAGAAACTCAGCTCGTATTCTCTCTTAATATATCTTTTTTATGATAATTTCAGTTTACGGAAAAGTCCGCGTGGTACGGCAATGTGGCTACATAGCTGATGAAGATGCTGAGGAAAAGTCATGTCATAGACAAGCCAGTACGGGAGACGTTTTCGTCACTTACTGTTCGTGTACCACAGATCTCTGCAACTCAGCGCATTCAATTAATACTCAAAAGACATTAATACAAACAGCTATGTTATTCTTCATTAGCTTGTATATTGTTATTTAGTCTAGATTGATTAAAGAGTTTATTGTTTCTTAAGTTTTTATTTAAATTTGTGGTTGCTTAATAGTCAAAAATATACCATAATTAAAATACATTTTGGATATATTTCATATTCTTCATAGGCTATACAAATAATATTTATTATAGACAAACAATATAAATATATACATAATCATTTGACATATACGTGAGTGTTAAATAAATCGAAGTTATTAGCAACCTTAGGGAGTGCAGAAAAAAATTATTTAACTGAAAAAATACACTATATCAGTAATAATATTGATATAGTGTATTTTTTCAGTTAAATCATTTTTTTCTGCACTCGCTAAGGTTGGCTCACTCGTAGAGAATGCTAATAGCATTAAGACCACCTATTGTAAAATTCAATAAAGTTTAAATGAATGTATTTTTTGCATAATTAAAAAAAAATAGCTTTCTAGATAAGAAGCTCTATATAAACTATAAGTGTGAGAAATTTCATACTCTACCCGTGAAATTTCGTAAAAAGGGGTACAAAATTTGTACTACACGTGTTTAATATAGTGATTTATTAGAATTTAAGCAACTCACTTGACTGTGGTCTTTGTCGATTAATGTGCAATACTTCTCACTTTCTTAGTTTAGCAACTAATCGAACCCCCGACCGTCGCTATTAGTGTGTTCAACCGCTACACCACCGAGGTCGTAAATAAAATAAATAATTTCACTCACCAGGATTAGCCCCATCTCGGAACACCTTGGGTTGATTACTGTACGCCAGGAAATATTCAATATGTGCCATTTCATGATGCGCTGTCACCAAGTCCTTCATATCTACGTGGGTGCACATTTTGATACTGAAAATATGTTAAAAACATAAGTATATAATAATAATATTCCAGGACTATCCACATAGCGCCATCTAGTCTTAAGCTAAGCAAACATATTAGACAACTGACATAAATACTTAGATACATTTTTTTTGTGAATATGTACATACATAATATACATAGAAAAACCCAGACCGATACAGACAATCATATTCATGTATCAATACAATCATATTTGTGCCGTGCTAGGAATCGAACCCGCGACTATCGGAAGTATGTATAACATGTATGTATTTACGAAAAAAATATGTACCTATGTATTTGTATCAGTTATATAGTACCCATAACACAAGCTTTAGCTAGCTTAACTTGGAACTAGATGGCGCTGTGTGAATTGTCCTGATAATGTTATTATTACTCAAAATGTCATACTACATATAAGTTAACATTTATTTTTCTCAGAACGTCGACACTAGACAATATCTCTGACTACTCCACATAACATTATAGTTGTGAAGATTGTCATGTATGTACATATAAAACGTGAACTAACCGATAATCGTGCCGGTTGCAAAAGTCCCAAGCTGATGGCTGACAGTGGATGTGCCTATCTTGGGGTTGGTCGAACACGCTCAGCGCCCAAAAGTCAGGTGGCATGGCAGACATGTTCATGGATACAAAGAACTCCTCGGCCAGTTGGAAGACGGTCAGTGGAGTGTAGCCCTGGAAATAAAGTCAATGAAAAGGTAAGTTAAATATAAGAACCTCTGATACCCATTACATGTAGTTTTTTTTTATGTAATTGTAACTCCAAGCTGATGGCATACCTGATGATAACCGTCTAACTACAATAAAACGCAATAGTATTATTATTATTATTATCTTTCTCACCATCACCACTGTACTAATTTTTATTAAATTATGACGGTGGCAAACTGGCGCATGACCTAGCTGATGGTAAACGTTTAAACGTTATCGTTTAACATTAAGTGTTAATTTCACTTGTTGTTTTCCACGATAAAGGCAAATCCTACTTTGGTACCTTAGATTAAGTTTTCCTATAAATAAAGTCATTCTTATTCTAAAGTAAAACGTCCAATAATACGCGTGCTATAATTTAGTGGAGTCTACACTAAATGGCGCTGTGTAATATACTCGTTTTATTATTCAAGTTACCTGTTGTATCATCTCCGGTGTAACATCGACCAGGGTTTTCCCAGGGTACGGCAAGGTGAATGGCACAATGCCCGACCAGCTCTGTCCCCACATGTCTCCGAGAATGTGGGCGGGTATTGGTGCAGAACGAGATATTCTTTCAGGGCCGTATGCTTCCCTGAGCCGCCGGCGGACGTACGCATGAAGGAGGTCGTATAGTGGCTTTACCTGAAAATGAAAATATTAACATAAAAAATATCTGTATGTAGCTGTGTCCTAGACATTCTATTTAAATTATAATCTGTATACTAAATTTCATTGAACCCCGCCTGGGAAAGCGGGCTAAGAAAATTTCCTTACCCGTACAAATAATGACGACATTCAAAAGGAATATTAATTATTATTATTTTTGTTTATAAAATGCTTTTATTGTTATTAACAATGTAGAAGAAATATTGATTTACTATTAATGAAAATGCATTTGATAGCTTAGTCAAACTCTTCAAGTATTAAACACCAACCTATGAGCAACGACATCGTGGTGGACCGAAGCAAAAGAGACTCAAGGATTTGGATTAATTTGTTAGCAAAAGATGGCCAAACTCAGGATAAAAAGATTTGAATTGGGCGACCTTAGAACTGAAAATAATATTCACCGTATGTATGATAAATTAAACTATTAAGACACCAAGATGTTAACGGTTCACGGTTAAATAAACAAACGTACTAAAATTATAAATATACTCATTTCTATATATACCTACATAATAAGAAAAACTATTACGGAGTAAGATTCATTACCTGTTCCCAAACTTCTTCAACTTCTTGTCTCAAATTACCAGATTCATAAGGGAACATCCAGTAGGCGGAAGCGTCAGTGAAATCTGGAAAAATAAGAAACGCCTGTTAGAAATATGATAGCAATAACACTAACTTACCTCACATAACTCAAACCAGTTTAGGAGCTATCAAGTCATTTGAAATATTAACAAGAACATCGTATTATATTTAGTTAATGATGACCCGATCCTTGCTTTACACAAGTATATTTATTTATTTATTTTCGGAAAACCATGGCTATTTACAAACATAATTATAAACTTAATTAAATCAGAACGCTGTGGAACCTTAAGTATATAATTATAATGAATAGAGTTAAGTTTGTAAATGTAACCGCAAAATACTTCGACGGATTCAAATCTAGCTTGTTAGTGACATAGTAGTTGTCTAGCCTTTGTAAATCAGACTAGACTAGAACAGACAGACAGAGCTGCAGCATCAGATATATTGATATTTTTTAAAAAAAATTCATGTCATCTGCAAAACACAGAAGAAATTATTGATGTCATTGACGAAAATAATAAACAATAAAGTACCCATATATATAGTATTATACATATAAAATTTCCAGAAAATATCTCTTAATGATAATGAAAACAGTATCGACCTGTTATTTGGTACACAGCTTCTACAGAAGCGTAGAGAGAATCAAATGGACGAAACAATAACTTTGTTTAATTTTAGTTCAAAATGGTATTTATTTATGAATTTGGACTACCAAACAAATGACTGCTTACTTGATGGTAAGGGGTACCCTTCAACTATATACATCACGTTATCACGTGACAGCCGTGATATTACCATATCAGAGTACTGACAAGTTTAGTTTTGATAAAATTAATCTTTCTTAATCCTGGACAAATCATACAGTGCCATCTAGTCTCAAGCTAAGCAGATTTTGTGTTATGGATACTAGATAATTGATATAAATACTTAGTAAGTAAGATTAGATTAGATACATTTCTTTAAATATATACATAACATATATAGAAAATACCCAGATATACAATCATACTCATCAGTGCAAATGTTTGGACCGTGCAAGGAATTGAACCCGCGACCATCGGAAGCAACCTGGTGTCCTAACCGCTAGCCCACCGCCGCCATTGTGATGATATCATGATGTTGTGGCACAAAAAAAACGAATTTAATACTATAAACGCCGAAGTTTGCAAATGTGAATTGTTGTATGGATGTTTGTTACTCTTTAACGCAAAAACTGGACTTTAATGAAACTTTACAATAATATAACTTATCCTTATTAATAATAGAAAAGCGAAAGTAACTCTGTCTGTCTGTCTGTCTCGCTTTCATGCCGAAACCACTGTACCGATTTAAATGATATTTGGTACACAGATAGTCTAGACCCTGACAAAGGACATAGGCTACTATTTATACAAAAACAAGAGTTGCAAGGGGTTGAAAGGTTATATGGAAGTATTGTCATTTTACGCGGACGAAGTCTCGGGCACAGCTAGTACTGTATATATTAGAATGACACATAGATTTCAAACGAAAAACTGGACACAGCTACTTAAATATAATAGATACTCAAAAGTGTGAATATAATAGTTAAAAAAAGTATCTACTTACTATTCAATCTGGCCGCCTGATTGGTCAAATCCACCAGCTGTTCATACAGATCCCGGATACGTCTGCCCGTATTCCTTCTCCATTCGGTCCACACGTGGGACAGCTCGTCCCAGTCCCTCGAGTGGGACATGATGAATTGAAGTTCAGGTTGTAAGTGGAGTCCACACTTGAACGGTTCGTTGTATGCGCAGATTTCAGCCGTGTTGTACACAGCTAGCATGTCGTTAATGATCCTGTTGTACTGAAAAATAAATATTAAACATATTACTAATATTATAAACCCGAAATTTATAAGTACGGATGGATTTTTGTTACTCTTTCTGTACTGTAAAGTTTCTTTACTGTAAAATTTTATCGAAATGCGCTCAGTAGATTTTACATGAAAGAGTAAAAAACATCCATCCATACTCACAAACTTTCTCATTTATAATATGAATAAGATTTTATTGATATTTCATAAGTGAGATAGTCTATAAGATATTTATAATATATAAATAAAAAAATATATCTTCTTACTCGGTCAAGTTGATCAGGTGGTAGCGCAGCCGGTCCGATGATGGACAGCATCCTCAGCTGCCTGAAGGTCGGGTAATCCCTAATGAAGCCCCTGGGGATTTGCTGAGCGGCTTCCCATAGTCCCCGCTGGAATAATGTGTAACGCTGCTGTGCATCCAACTGAAAGATACAGTAAGTTACTGTTAAAAGAGAAGGAAAGTAAAGTAATGTGATTAATCATGTTTAAAACGAAATAAGATTTGCTTGTACAAATTTACTTTTTATTTGGTTTTTTGATCACTATAATTGATACAAAAGGTGAACTTAATGCTAGCCCATTCTCTCCCAGTCAACCTTTGGGATGTGGAGATATTTCAATGCGACAAATAAAAGATTATAATAACAAAATACATGTTATCTGTGATAGAATTAAGCTACTTTTTAATACAATAAATAATTGCAAATTTTAAATTGCAAAATTTTTAATGCATTCTATGCTAATTCTCAAAAACAATTCAACATGGAGACGGAAACATCATCAGCCTTTTTGTCCACTACCACGGTTTACATTCAAAAAGTGAATTACGTACAATTTGTGATCATGACTAAATTTTTTTGCTTTATTTTGTTTTTAACCCAACCTATTCACACCGCCTATTCCAGGATATCTTAGTTTAACCACAGATAAGAAAATATCTTTAAGTATAAGAGATATCTTTTCGAGTTAACATATTTGCTTACATTGTTGGTAATAAATACTGTTATTTTATTTTTAACTAGCTACGCGACTTCGTCCGCATGGAGTTTAACTTTATCTTTCTAAAATAAAAGTAGCCTAAGTTACTTCTATTACATCAGCTACCTGCGAAAAAAAGTCCCGTCAAAATCGGTCTAGCCATGTATATTTACATGTACCTTTAGATTACGTACCTAAAGGATATCTCATAACACATCTAAATTGGAGTAAAAACCTATTAATTCCGTCATTCAAATACACGCATTACACCATTTAACTGGACCACAACAAAATGAAGGTCGCAATGGTAAACAGTGAGTGTCATCGTGATGGATTGCTAACAGTCAACAAGTCTTGGCAACTGTTCGTCACAGTACTCATTGTAGACCATTTATGACATCCATAAATGGTGTACCGAGGTGACAATTTGCATAATGTCGCAAAGACATGAGAATACATAGCACTGACTTAGAAATAGCTGTTTTTACGAATTCGAGAATTTGTATTGTTAGAAACTGCAGGCGTCATGGACAGATTGTGATGCTTGAGGTTTCTCGCTTGTGTTGCCATTTATGTGGACTATAGCAACACACAAGTTTCTTGCTTATTCTTCTTGTGATGAATCTGCATTCCGAATAAGCGGTAGAATAAAAAAACTTGATTATTCAAAAGTGCTTATATTAAGTTTATTTGAATAAACATTATTTCTATTTCTATATATCAGTATTCTGTTTCTATCATATAATACTTTCGGCCTTGGTAGTCTAGCGGTTTAGTACACCGCCCTACTTCCGATGGTCGCGAGTTTTATTCCTCCCCTCCGATCGATCTCCCGTCCAATTCAAGGGGCATCGAAATTAAGATGGCTTAAACCATGCTTCGAACCCCTAACAGTGCCCTCAGTACTAAAGTTACATCCGTTAATTTCAAACACTACAGTCGTATCCGTCAGGAGTCGGTCTTCCGTCGCTCCATAAGTCCTTACGTGTATTTGGTATGTTATCTGAACTTGCTCTCTATCGTTCGGTTAAGCTGAAGGCCAGTTACGGCCAACAGCATTAGAATAGTTCGAAAAAAAATGGCTTCGATTCTTGTACGGTACAGACATATATAGTTTCATACGATTATATATAGTTCTAGCTATACGCCCCGGCTTCGCACAGGTATACATGTATTATACATATAAACCTTCCACTAGAATCACTATATCTATTTAAAAAATACCGCTTCAAAATGCGTTGCGTTGTTTTAAAAATTTAAACATACATAGGGACGGACAGACAGCGACAGCGACTTTGTTTTGTACTATGTAAGGATTCTAGTTGTTTTAAAAAAAATGTTGAAAATACGTGGAAAATATGACGCAGTCGAAATTACGCCTGTCAACTAGAAAACAATAGGTACTACTTAAAACTGAGATAGATTAAATGACATCACCCTGTAGGGGCTGCCGTGTAATCACCATCATTTCAGCTAACCATATAATTACTGGGTGACTCAGATTATATCGCTGCACTCAGAGTCATTATCACGATGACGAATCATTATATTTATTGTCATACGACAATCTTTGCAAGGAGCAGAATTATTATTACAGACATGTAATTATATAATAATATATAAACTTTTTATAGATGATAATGGATGATATTCATGTATAATATACATTGTATATAGACGGTTGCTAGTTTATATTTATTCTAGTTATATATAAAAATCACTGCAACCGCGGTCTAGCGGTTTAGGATACCGCTTTACTTCCGATGATCGCAGGTTCGTTTCCTCGCACGGTCCAAACATTTGTATTCTTTGTATGATTGTTTGTATGGGTCTCGATGTTCTTTATGTATATTACGTATGCATTTAAAAAAATATCTATGTACTACCTGTCCCGGCAAACGTTGTTTTGCCAAATAAATTACTAACGCTATAAAAAAATAGGGGTTGGTGATAGAAGGGTCAAAATTTAGGATTGTATGTACTTTTTAAAGACACATAATAAAAAAATATGAATAAAAAATTTTGCCCAAAAAATAAAAAAATAGTATTTGGGGTGGACAACCCTTATCACTTAGGGGTATGAAAAATAGATAGTAGCCGATTCTCAGACCTACTGAATATGCATATAAAATTTCATAAAAGTCGATCAAGCCGTTTCAGAGGAGTATGGTGAACGGTGATGGTGAATGAATGGAACATTGTGACACTAGAATTTTATATATAAGATTTATATTAGTTGTCCAGTATCCATAATAATAATAATTATTATTAATATACATTAATTATGTATAATTATCTGTAATACAAACAGTACTAGTAAACAAACATGTAAAAAGTGACAAGTTCTAATGTTCTCAAAATAAACGTATTAATTAATACTTTTAATTATATAACCAAAACCCAAATTCATTAACGCTGCGACCTTGACTTGATATTAAGTCGAGTGAGATAATGAGCCATCTAAATGATCTTCACGGTTGTTCCCAGTCATGACTTTGTGATCATTGATAATTGTATTAAGTTTAAAATGGTAAGATAACTACTTCCTTATCATTGTTAGGATTATACTGATTCAGACGCAACTTTGCATTCTGTGCTAATTCTCAAAAACAATTAAGCATTAAGACAAAAGTATTACGGCCTACAGTAACAACTCCTGTTCTTCTCTTTTTTAAAAATCCCTAAATAGAATTAAGATAGAAAAGGAAAAAAACCTTCTGCATTCTATGCTAATTCTCAAATACAATTAACATGAATACTGTCGCCACGTTTGCATTCAAAAGTCCCTACATAGAAATAATAAAAAACCTTCTGCATTCTGTGCTAATTCTAAAAAATAATTCAATATGAAGACAAGAGCATCATGGTCTACAGTCGCAAATTCTACATTAAAAAGTTCCTAAATAAAATTAAGATTAAAGAAGGAAAAACCTTTTGCATTCCGTGATTATTGTCAAAAACTATTAAACTAAAAAATATAACAGTCTGCAGTCACAATTTCTGCATTGAAAAGTCCCTAATTAAAATTAAGATTGAAAAAGAAAAAACCTTCTGCATTCTATGCTAATTCTCAAAACCAATTAAACATAAAGACAAAAACATCATAGCCTACAGTCGCAACATATGCATTCAAAATTCTTCCATTATCCTAAGTAAAATTAAGATTGAAGAAGTAAAATAAAAACCTTTTGCATTCTATGCAAATTCTCAAAAACAATTCAACACGGAGACGGAAGCATCATCAGCCCTTTTGTCCACTACCACAGTTTACATTCAAAAAGTGAATTCAAATTTAATCATCACAATATTTGAACTAACTATTCCTACTATATTTTTAGAACCATCAAATTTTCCACCCAAAATTAAATACCGGAAAACCCCAACAGATGGCAGTGTAACTTTGGGAAATCTTACATAACTCTGAGTTATTAACACCAGTTTCCCACGACACACCGCTGATCTTGAAACCTGCATGTTAATTATTTAAGTATATTAAATCTAATCTACCTCGCCTTGTCACGATCTCGCATCGACAAGGAAAACAAGTACACAATAGCTTTTTGCTCATATCAGTAACTTTTTTTTGCTACTTTAATGAGGTCCACAGGACCCCGATATACTGAGAATAGAAATTCATAGAAAAGAAATCCAATACAGTTTAATCAATTTAAAAAATGGGAATTCAATTCGGCTGTGTTTTTTCTATCTGTTACGCGCGTGCTTTATCAATAGTTAGTCCATTTTGATAATTCATCTTTTAATGGGATTTTCTTTTTCCTATTATACTCTTATGTTTTAAATTCGTCTATAAATAACCGTATCCTAATAATAGAATATGTATTTTATACTAGCTGTTCCGGAGACTTCGTGTGCGTGGAATTTAACTGTATTTTTCTAAAATAGATGTAGCCTAAGTTACTCCTTATTACATCAGATACCTGCCAAAAAAAGTACCGTCATAATTGGTCCAGCCATTTCAGAGATTAGCCGAAACAAACAGACAGACAGACAGACAGACAAAAATTATCAAAAATGTTATTATGGCGTATGTACCGTATTCGTATTCATATGCATATAGTAAGAAACGATTATTTCAATATTACAAACAGACACTCCAATTTTATTTATATGTATAGATGTATAGATTTAATCCAAGATAACTATATGTATCCATACTTTCTTGTGATTATGCGGAAGTAATAGTAAGTAAGTAAGTAATTTATTATAAGTAAGTTAGTAATATAATATAAACGATTAAGTAATACAATATAATATCTTTGACTAAATACTTAATATAATCAATATCGAACTTTATTTTGGTAAGTTCGTTAGATCTTCTGATTAGATTATAGAAAACTATAATTTTTTTAGCAAAAAGATAATTCTGACTAATATCATAAATCTTAATGAAATTTCATTTGAAGTTAGCTTATATCACGTGAGT